GCTGGTAACACTATTATACACATTCTGTCAAAGTTGAATGCATAACGTACGATTAGTTTTTGTTTGGCGTTTGGACGGTCAAACGGTCAATAAGGAGTATTATTTTGCCATTATGCGTCGCTTGCGTGAGGACATTCACAAAAAGGAACCAGATTTATGGAAAGAAAACTCATGGATTTTACACCACAATAACGCACCGGGTCCCACCAATATCTTCAACCAAGCACCGTACTCTCCAGATATGGTCCCGTGTGACTTTTTCCTCTTCCCCGATTCAAATTGCCATTGCGAAGAACGTGTTTTGAGACCATAAAAGAGAATTCGCTGCGTGAACTAAAAGCCATACCTTCGGCGGCCTATAAAACTTATATGGAAAATTGGATCAGGCGTTGGCATGCATGTATTGCCGCAGGAGCAGAGTACTTTGAAGGCGATATTAAAGAAAATTATTAAAAATTAAAATTTTGTGTGTTTTTTTAACTTCTTGTTCTTTTTTGATCAAATGGTATATATATATGTATTGTTATAAATTTACCGTTCGTACCTCTAGGTTATCAATAAATGCCAAAAAGAACACGTTATTTTTAATTATTTTACCTTTATAACTTTATTTAATCTCCAAAACTAAAACTAACTGACTGACTAAACTTCACTCATTTTTCTCCAAACTAAAAACTACTTTTTTTAACATTAATTTTAGAGTCATTTTTTTTAGAGTTGCCAGGATTTAATATTCTCGAACCAAACTCGTCACACTGCCCTCGACTTAAGCCTGATCGTTCCGATCAGGCACTAAACCTTTAGAACCGTACAGAGCAAGCCTCTCCACATACACTAACTTCATTTGAGAATGTGTCATTCCACAACGCTGGATGCGGTACACAACGTCATTCAGACGTTTCACAATCATATATGGCCCCTCCCATGATGTTTGTAATTTCACAGATAAACCTTTCTTACGTTGCGGATTATATAGCAACACCAAATCGGCTTCAACGGATCCCTCAGAATTTGCTGCTTGGTCAAACCGATCTTTCATTTTATTGCTCATCAGCCGGCTGTGTGGTCTTACAAGTTGGTGTAGTTCATTCATTTCGTTCAACATTTCGCAATAGTTTTCCCCACTGTTCTCAACCACATTGGTTACTCCAAACTTAAGGTCGGAAAGAAGCCGCAACTCAGAGCCGAAAACTACATGCGCTGGTGTATAACCTAAGATCTCTTGCTTAGTCGATCAATAAGCCATCAAAAACATTTACGCTGACATTTGTAATTATATTACAAACTTTTCGCAGGTATTCTTCTGGAGTCCGATTGAATTTTTCCACCATGCCGTCTGTGGATGTGGATGCAGAGCCGTTGTTCTTGTTTTTGTAATGCCTATTATTGTGCAAATTTCTTGGAACATTTTAGATTCGAAGTTTCTCCATTGATTGGAGTGCAAATCTATTGGGACTCCAAATTTTGTCATCCTATTTTGTACAAACACCTCTGCTACTGTTTTCGCCTCTTGATTCAGTAACGCGTACATTTCTGGCCAATTACCGAAATAGTCCATCACAACAAGCACATATTTATCCAGCATCACTGGTTGGAAATGGGCCCGCTACATCCATAGCGACTCGTTCAAATGGTGCTCCAAAGTTATATTGATGAAGTTTACTTCGACTTTTTATCTTAGGACCTTTGGTTGCCACACAGTTTGAACAATTCCGAATCCACTCCGTTACCAAGTCACGACAACCAACCCAATAAAACCGCTGTTTGATCTTTTCAAGAGTTTTCATGACCCCAAGGTCATGACCCCTCCACTTGGACCGTTGTGAAACTCCTCTAACACGTTTGCAAGTCTGGATTTCGGACCGATAATTAGAAGACAAGAACGCTTTCCATCTTCACTTTCCCAACCACGGTGTAGGACCCCGTTGACAAGACGGATACTGTCCCATTGTGTCCAATATGCCTTTGCAATGGGAGTTTCGGAGGATATCTGCTCCTTGGTTGGCTGCAATCCGTTTTCTTTGGACTCTACTAACTTTACAAGATCAGGATCTTTAAGTTGACTGTCTCTTGAATTGGTTGGATTCCAATCTTCTGCTGGTTGTAGCCTTGTCAAACGAATATCGACTATTCCTTCCCTTAATTCATTTTTTGTACAATGTTTACACTCTAGTTTACACTCGTCTCCATAACGCATCAGCATTTCCATGTTGGACACCCTTTTGGTGCTCTATTTTGAAGTCATAGTTCTGTAGCCTTTCTATCCATAGAGTGATCTATCCATCTGGGCTTTTAAACTGCAATAACCATCTTAACGCTGCGTGGTCTGTTCTCAAATGAAATTTTTGACAATACAAGTACTTATGAAAGTGTTTTACACATTTCACTACAGCCATCAGCTCTTTTCGTGTTACACAATGATTTTTTTCCGGTTTTCCAAGAATCCTACTAAAATATGCTACCACTTTTTCTTGACCATCGATAATCTGAGAAAGAACATTGCCAATTCCATAAGCGCTCGCGTCGGTGTCCAACACAAATTCCTATCCGGGTGCTGGGTATGCTAGCACGGGTGCTGTACACAGCGTTTGCTTCAATTGTTGAAAAGCATTTTCTTGCTCGTTTTGCCACACGAATGAGCGATTCGTCTGAGTAAGCTCATGCAAACTTCTTGCTATATTGGCAAATCCTGGGACAAATCGACGGTAGTAAGTGCATAAGCCAAGGAAACTTCGCAATTCCCGTATGTTTGCTCGTGTGGGACAATTCTTTACTGCATCTATGTTTTCGTCATCGGTATGAATGTCTTGCGTCGTCATTTTATAACCGAGATACGTCACTTGAGTTTTCATCAAAGAGCATTTCCTGAAATTTAAGCACAATCCAGCTGACCCTATTCGTTATAATACTTCCTCTAGATTTTTCAAGTGGTCATGAATACTCCTTCCCATGACGATGATGTCGTCGAGATACACAAGACATATTTTCCAATGAAGTCCCTTCAACATGTGCTCCATCAGTCGTTCAAACGTTGCTGGTACATTACATAATCTATGCTCCAGTTACGTGAAGTCCCATAGCCCATTACCTATACTGAACGCCGTCCTTTCGCGATTATTCTCCTGAAGTTCAATTTGCCAGTAGCCACTTTGCAGATCTAATATGAAAAACCGGTGCGGTTTCTTGAGTAAGTGCATGTGAGAACGTTTCAGCAAATGTCTTCTTAGGCAGTACAAGTGCCGCACGTTTAGTATCTATATCTCGTGCACCATTAATGAAGCTTTGTATTATTACGCGTTGAATGAAGTCCACCGATGCATCTGTATTCGTAAATGTGCTAGTTGCTCAACATCTAGCTGCGAACTTTTGAAGAGTCTCACCTGAGTTTTGGCGTCGGTTTTGTAGTTCGATTTGGTATATCTGTTGCTTGTGTTCGCTTCCAAATCGCCATTCTAATGCCGACATCAAGGCATCATAATTATTTTTTCATGCTGAGGTATGGTTTGTAAGATTTCAGCTGTGGGAACTTTTAGCGAAATAAATAACGCCTCTACTTTATCTTCAGTTTTCCAATTATTAGCGGCTGCAGTCTTTTCAAATTTAAGCTTAAATATTTGTAACCTTTGTAAATTTACTTTTGACCCCTCAATAGGTAAATTACGTGCTTCCAACTCGTTTTTTAATTGTGGATTTTTTAAATCAGTTTATTGACAATCCCACTTCTGACACCAATTGTTACAAATTTACCGTTCGTACCTCGAGATTGTCAATAAATGCAAAAAAAAACACGTTATTTTTAGTTATTGTAACTATATAACTTTATTTAATCTCCAAAACTAAAACTAATTGACTGACTAAACATCACTCATTTTTCTCCAAACTAAAAACTACTTTTTCTTAACATTAATTTTAGAGTTGCCAGGATTTGGCATTCTTGTCATTTTTTTTAGAATTGCCAGGATTTAATATTCTCGAGCCAAATTCGTCACAATATATATATATTTCCCAGAACTGAATCTGAAACTGTTTCGATTTAAAATCGTTTCAATTTTACGCCGATTAAAAACACCTCCACTAATTTCGAGGTTGAACGAGAGAATGTAAATAAAATGCTGATACAATTTTAACCGTTGATTGGAATTTTGCATTCACAATAGACTGATTTTTGAATTTGGCTGCACTGAAGCTTAAGACTTAAAATTTTTTGCGACTAAAACCTAACTCTGAAGATTTTGTTATTGCTTCACATGTTTACTTTCGTAAGTTGCGAGTATTTTTTTGCTACCCTGAAAAAAAAATTACGGCTACTATAAGATGTCGCAAGCCGCTCTTAAATTTTTAGAGCTTTCGCCCAAGTGGACCATGTTTGAGTTTGCGTTAATATGATATACATTATTTATGTTTTCTTTAAAAAAATATTAACATTTTTCAATATAAAGCAACAGCTTTCAAATGCATGTTCTGTTCTTTCATGCTTTAACAAAAATGTAAAAATGTCTGTTAATATTACACTAACAATATCTATTGCGTTGGTTGGCTAGGACAAGTTGTTGTTGCGAGCCTCGAGACTGTCAACGTGAGCAGAAACTCTAAAAGTTTAAGAGCAATTTACACATCTTATAGTATTTACTATTTTTGGTGCTACCAATTACAAAAAAACACAGTAAACGGAATACCCTTTTGGTATTGCAAGTGCAAAGGTATTGCAAATGCGTCTTCAATGCTATTTGTTTTTGTAATAGATATTTATTTCGCATTCGCAACAAAGCTCCAATATGCTTTTATATATCTCTCCAACTATAATACTCTAGTTGTGAAGTCCAGTTATGATACAAAATGATTTCTGTTTTGTTAAAAACTTTTTTTTTTTGTAAGAATAAATTACTATTTAGAACATGGTATAAAAAAAGAAAATAAATTTTTCTTAAAAATCTTAAATTTTTTCGAAAAATTTCTAAAAGTAAATATCATGTTTAAAAATTAGTATTATGTATACAAACCATTCTGCAAAAACTTTAAGCGATTATATAATTTTTCACAATTTAATGTTATTCCACCCATAACCACATCAGTATGACCATTCATGTACTTTGTTAAAGAATAGCAGACCAAATCAGCACCTAACTCAAGAGGACGTTGGAAATAGGAGGTTAAAAATGTGTTATCTACAGCAACAATAATATTTCCACTTTCATGACAAAGTTTACTAATAGCCACAATATCCGCAACTTTAATCAGCGGGTTTGTAGGTGTTTCGATCCAAACAAGCTAAAAGAATAAGTTTATTATCATTAATAACAAATAAAAGTAGTATTAACTTATATAACCTAAATAATAATACATACAATTTATGTTAAATATTTTCTATATCTTATAACGCGTTATTATACAAAACAAAAATGAAAAATTTGCAACAATTTATTTGAATATAATTTTGGAATTAAGAATTAAATTTTGTTCCATGCCGATACGAATATGAGAAAACCCATTCTAAAAGTCAAATTTTTGTTTTAAGTATAAATTCATTTTGCTGTTAGGGGAAGTCCCTTTTTTCAAACCAAATGTTTAATATTTTCTTCTTGTGCTAATGCCAGTCGCTGGCAGCGTGGTTTAAAGTAAATAAAATAATTTCAATGCTATTCATAACGATTATATTGAGCTTGACAATGAAACTTGTATATCAAATTTTCCTACAGATGACGATATTATTGAGGACTATAGCTCTAAATTACTGGATCCAATTCTAAGAGCAACGGAAAATGATGATGAGGGTTCGGTGGATGTAATTGTTCATCAGTCTTCCATATATGAAGTAGAAGACTCATTCAAAATTCTAAATTTATATTTGCAAACGAATGATACTACAACTGATAATCACTATAAGAGTATTAATAAAGTGGAATCTTTTTTTACCGACAACAAGGAAAAAATTAAAGTCCCAAGCCCTACTTTCTGAATATTTTACTTAACTATAACTTTTGTGCTTTATTTGATTGCAAATAAATAAACACCTTAAAATGTGATTCTAGTTTCTTTCAAAAATAAAAATAAAAATTTAAAACAAATAAAAATAAAAATTTAAAAAAAAAATAAAAACATTCTGTAACTTTTTTTTGCAAAATTGAACTTCGAGTTACGAAAGTTTGACTATATATATTTATATGTTTCGTATTCCTTTACTTATCATATTAGGTTGCATCCACACCAAACATTTTTGTATATATGCATGTATTTATTAATATTTATTAATGAATTTCTAGTTGTTTAATTATTATATATTTATTGATTAAATGTTTATTATTACAATATAACTTCAATCACGCGAGCACGAAAATACCACCAACCTCCGACATCAACTTCCCACAACTACTGACTCTGCTTCTTTTCTGCTTTGTTCCTTTGTTAAACGCAAAGTTACCAAGCCTGAGAATTACTGCGTACATGTATATTTTTAAATATAAATGTATACACACTCGTATATATACAGTGTTGTGCATAATGAGCACACCATGCAACCAAAATGAGCACATCAAATAAATAAGTTTTCTTGTCTACTTTTCATTATAAAACTTATATACATAGTTTTATTTGTTACTGTATTAGCTACCACAAAAAACAACAAAACCTACAATTCTTTATAACGGGTGAAATAATTCACAAAAATAATGAAATATTGCTAAACGCAGCTGTGCAAAACAATAGCAATTTTATTTGTTATATCAAGTTTTTGTATAATTTTTTATTATTTTGTACAAAACCCTTTGTTTTTTATTACTTGGGCACAACTGCGGGCCATAGATGATATCAAATTGTCAATAAAACTATATGGATTGTTTTAGCATTCAACTTTCAGGGCCGCAAACAATTGAGAAATTTTCGATTTCGATTTTGGGTTCTTATCGTGCAGATAAACTCATCGTAGCGCCATTTTCCATTCGGGACCATATGGCTTTCTAAAATATCTTTGTACACGTGTTGGTCCATTATTTGATGAATTGTATAAATAGGACCAAGTCCAAATCCTTAGAAGAACGCCCAAATCATTACTGAGCCACCCCATGCTTCACCGTAGCGGTAATGGTAATGTCAAGAAAGCATAAACATTATGATTATTCACGAAATTATTATTCACCACTATTGGAAAGGTCATGGATCAGAGAGTTAAAAATAAATCTCTATGAGATTGAGAGTAATAATATCAAACAACAAAATCAATAGGTAAATTATAGAAATAAATGTGATTTATTGCGCAGAAATTTCCAGAAGCATTTTCTCAAAGAATAGAATGTGTTCCTAGTATCGAAGTTAATTTGCAGTTAAAAGAAAGCAAATTCAGTCTTTATTACAGCGCTATATATACCCTATGCCCTAAAAGAAAAGGTTGATCAAGAACTAGAAACTCTTGTAATGTGATATCAATACTTACTGAATGTTAGGCCGCCTTTGATGACTACTGCATTCATATTCTTTAAAACACTAATGTTTTGATTTAAAATGAGCTAACCATTGCATTTCAATAATTTGTGGCATGAATAAGAAAACGATATTTCTGATACAAATAATTTACCGCTTTAATTTCGGTTAAGAGCTCATGTAGCGTCAAATATATTGACACCACACCAATTGGAACACATGTGAATATGTGACATATGACAAACAAATGCATAGTAAGTATTATATGTTTTAAGTTAAAACAGTCTTGTTGAGAACGGAGTCTTGAAGAGAGACTTAGAGAAGTGCTTCAAGACAGAATATTTAATAATGAATATTTCAATAAATACTTCATTTTAAAACCAAAATTAAGGTGTTTCATTAATGTGTTTTTAAGGAGTGCAAATATAGTTACAGACATTATAAACTCTGAAAAAAAAGCGTCACAATGCATGTTCTGTTACAAAATAATAAGTTTTCAAATTACAGATACAGCAATAGTTGATAGAATCCTACGAAACTCAAGAAAAATAGATTAGGATAAATATTTAGACTAGGTTTTATACATAAGAAAAAATATACAAATTATGTAACAAATAATGCCTCTACAAACAAAATAGTATTGAAATTTAACAATTAAAAATAAAAATATAATTAATTCAATTATTCTACAGCTGGTTTATGATTTTGTTCGAGTTTGATTCGTGGTACTTGCAGTTTCAAAAAATTACTTACGAATAATTAAATACAAGAACTATTTTCATGACCACTGATAATGGGTATTTGGCAATACTCGAAACAGATGTATGGTCAGCCAAAAATTCAATTAATTAAAATCAGAATTCGTATTTGAGTACCTATGAGCAGCTCTTTTCGGCTCATTCTATACACGGTTCATAAGCCGGCAAGAAACTCTTTTCATACGATAGCTCACGCTCACGAGCGAACCCAATTGCACAGCTCACGCTCGTGAGGAAGAGCTGCCATTAAGTTATAAATGGGCTCACGCTCGTAAGCTAGAGTACGAGCTGTGGCTTATGAGACCGCATGCGCTGCGTACAAGAAGGTGCTGCATGCTAGAAAATCAAAAATATATGACATTGTTGTTGCCTTCATTTCACAATTTGGTACGTGCCACTATTTATAATTCAAGAGTTTTAAACTATATTAAATTGTGTTTCAGAAAATTTGAAAATACAAAAATAAATATTTTAAAGTTTTACATGAATGTAATAAAACAATTTCCTTACAATGCGAAAAAACAATGTATTATTGTTTTAATATCTATAAATAATAATAAGCTAAGTTAATTTCAAATTATATATTTTCACATAACAAGTAACGCTTATAAAAATAAACAAAGCAAATAAACTAATCAAAAATAAATCGTTTTTTATTAACTATAACTATATTTACTATAACTTTTGCAGATTCCTTCTAATACAGCAAATTTCACTTACAAATCCAATAGAAATAAAATCAGGAGACATAACGGAAAATTGCAAAAAATTCACACAGCAATGGCAAAACTACAGAAAAGGCTAATTTACTCACAGCGGTTGTCCAAGATGTGTTCCAGAGATATTTTAATATGTAAATACCAGAGAAAGACGAAGCAACAACAGACGAACTACTGAACGCAATAGAACAAAATCTAACGTCAGCCGTCAACAAACGCTACATTAGACCACTGTTCATGGCCAAAAAGGACCAGCATGAAACGCAAAGTACGGCTCACTCAAAGATGATTTTTTATTGGACAAAATAAATTGTTCAATAAAAGATCAAAAGTTATGAGAAAGCCTGTGGCTGGATAAAACTATTACACTAGACAAAGCAATTAATATATCCAGATCAAAAGAAATAACAGAAAAACAGCTTCGTGGAGTCGACACGTAACCGTTTGAAGTCAATGAAATCAACAAACGTAGCATACAGAGATATAGTAATAGAAAAGCAAGGATGTGTAAGTTTTGCCTGTGGCTGGATAAAACTATAATACTAGACAAAGCAGTTCAATTCAATTCAGCATTTATTTACTTCTGCTTCTACCCCCACTTGATAGGTACCTTGTCGTGGTTTGGGAGCTTAGGGCTGCAGTGATTCGTCGGGCTTCATTAACGGGGGTAGTCATACAATGGTATGCTACCTCCTGATAGGGCTTCCCATGTTAGAAAGGCCGACTGATGAGCAACCAACTAAAACCTGCCTGTGTGCGTCTGTCTCTCCCCAAGTAGGGGCGGCATACAACGACGTCTGTTTTCTCCATGTCATATTGAAACTCATCGAACGGCAAAATCAGGCGCTGAAAACATATAAATGGCAGATAGTGAATATAGCTGTCTGTAAAAGCGGAACAGGTAGTGACATACTAATCGCTGTGGATCAACCGTCTCTATTCAAGGTCCCCGGACTTGGACTGAGTGGGTATCATCTCTACACTCCACATACACAAGGTAAGATTAGAACCTGTATAGTTGCAAAGAAAAGTCTTAATATTTTTCCCTTAACTTCTTACAGCAATGGAGATCTCACATAGGTAGTATGTGAACAAAGGCACAGGCCTAGCCTGCTGCTAACGTCCGCATACTTTTCGTACGATGAAGAAGAAACACCACCAGCAGCCTTTCGAGCACTGACTGCATATGCAGGATCACGAGGATTCTGGTAGCTGCTTGCGATGCAAATGGACATCACGAGCTCTGGGGTAGCAGTGATACCAACAGCAGGGGTGAGTCCATTTTCGATTTTATTCTTTCTACTAACCTAACTTTATGCAATAAAGGCAATAAGCCAACATTTCGAAACAGGGTTAGGGAAGAAGTTATTGATATTAC